ATTTTTTTAATTTTTTTTCATGAAAAAAATAAATTATATTTTATCCCGGAATCGTAGAAAATTTCAATCTAGTAGTTATTTGTGGGTATGCCATTTGTCCAAAATTCGATATTGAAATGAAACTATTTATAAGATTTGAAAACGACTGTTGTATAACAAAATATACTGATAATACTAGAGATAGATCACCTTAAATAGTTGAAGTTAGGGTTGTTCATGGGTTATTTTTTTAAATTAAGGCACTTTTATAAATTTTGCCCAGGGCCTCTCGAAGCCCAGGACCGGCCGTGATCTTCTACATTTTACACTCTAAAGAGCAAAACCTCAAGGCTAGGGTTTTTTTTCGTTTTTTTCTCAAATTACAATTTGGTAATTCGTCATTTGAATAATTTAAATTTTTTTTTTTAAATACGAATGATTATTGCTTCGATTTTATATTTCTCCATACTAATTGTGCGAAAGGAAAATGAAATTGAAGATTCGTTAATCTTCATGTAATGATGTTAAATTACCCTGTGTGTTATGTAATATATGTGTTGAACAGAGAGAGACAAGTATAACTTTTTTTAATCTCTATGCACAGACTTTCCATTTTTTTAACTCTGTGATGTGTGTGTGTTTTCTGTGATGTGTGTGTAAATTAATTACCAGATTTTTAATAATTAGAATATTTTAAATTGTAGAATGAGAAGCGCACCGGCACATCGCCCTCTCATCCTAAGCATCAAATCTTTTTTTCTTCTTTCACTATGGCCGATCCCGATAATTTGCAATCGAACTATTTCGGCAACCGATAAAGTCGGTTGCCAATCGTTACCCAACTTATAATTGTCAGGCTGTTTACATTTTTGCAATAGTTGGTTGGTCGGGTCGGGTCGATAGTCGATATTCAACCGACCCGACCCATGAACAACCCTAGTTGAAGTAGGATCTCACGAACTTGATGACCTTGAGATACCTGTGATAAGAGAAAACGTACACTAAGCCGGAAGTTGATACGGCGGAAACCCCTCCAACGCTCAAATCAGACTTGTGGATTGCAAGAGTTGTAGCAAGAAACTTAGGGAGTTGTATAGTTCAAATATATGAACGTACCTTAACAATTAAATTGTAATCAGGGCCGATCCTGGACTTTGAGAGGCCCTGGGCGAAATTTATAAAAGTGCCTTAATTTAAAAAAAATGACCATAAATTTCAATGAGTAAATATATAAATGACTATTTTTTTTTTTTTAATATAAAGTACAGTTTCTAATGTATGCTAATATCTCTAAAGTATATGTTAATTCAATTTACTATAAAATAAAAATCAATTTTTAACATATAGCAATTATAAATATAGTTATGGGCAAATTACGGCCACCCATTTGAGGAATGGCCAAATTACGAAAAAACCCATCTTGTTAGGGTAATTACAATCACCCGGCCTTTTAAATATTTTTACATAAAATTTATGTAATTCGGTTATTTACCGAACCAAATCATATATTCAGTTCCGCAAACAGTATAAAATGTACCGAACTTTCGGTTTGGTTTTACCGATTAAACATCCCTAAATTTATCTCTGGAGGGGTATTTTCGTAAAATAATACATAGTTAAGATAGGTGGCTGTAGGAGGGGGTTTTCGTAATTTGACCATAACTTAGGAGGTGGCCGTAATTTGCCCTATAGTTATTCATTGACATATTCTATAATTGAGAAAAAAAAGACATTAGGACTGGAATAGAAATAAAATAACTTGGAAGAAGAAATATGCAGAGATACATAAATTTTCAAATTGTTTTAGATGCGTAGCTTAGACTCATACTAGAGTATATCAAAAGAAATTCAAGTACTTTTCACGATGGATTTTATAGATTTTTTTTTAGTTGATGGTGTTGAAGTGACATTGTAAATAGAAATGACCATTCTCTAGAGAACATGTAATTCGATGAACTCAATATGCATATTTTTGCACATTATAACTCATGGACGTCTAATATGATATTATTTGATTATTTTGACTACAAGCCACTCAATTTATGAACGTAAGTTATGTAAGCTCATATACATTTAGGGGAACACGAGGTATACATTATGTATAACCCGTGTATATGTTTTCGTATCAAACCATATACATTCACATATAAACTTCAATATTGTTATTATTTTAATATTTTAATTTATATTATTTTTATTTTGTATAATAATAATTAACCGCATAATGACCGTAAAACGTGTTTCTAATGATATTTGAACAAATTATATAAGTATTTGCATCATTTGGAGCTAGAGGTGCTACCAAATTGAATGATTTACTCGTATTGAGTAGAAGGTGTTGAAGTAGGAGTGACATTGTAGATATTGTATCACCATTCTCTAGAGAACATGTAATTCAATAAACTCAATGTACATATTTTTGCACATTATGACCCATGGACGTCTAATATGATATTATTTGATAATTTTAGACCCCATACCACTCGATTTAGGAACGTACATTATTTAAGCACTATTTAAGCACAATGTATACATTTTTGGTAACACGAGGTATACGTTAAGTGTCACCCGTGTATACGTTTTAGTTTCAACTATATACCTTCACATATAAACTCCGATACTGTTATTATTTTAATATTTTAATTTAATAATAATAATAATTAACTGCGTAATGACCGTAAAACGTGTTTCTAATGATATTTGAACAAATAAGGGTAAATAGCACTTAACCCCCTTGTGGTTTGAACATTTTGCACATGACCCCCTTGTGGTGTGAAATTAGGCACATAACCCCCTTGTGGTTTTGACATTTTGCACATGACCCCCTTATGGTATAAAATTAGGCACATAACCCCCTTGTGGTTTTAACATTTTGCACATGACCCCCTTATGATATGAAATTAGCACATACTCCTTGAATAGATAACTGGAAAAGACTAAATTGCCCTTAAAGTTTATTCAATTTTAGAAATCAATTTAAAAATCTTTAATATTATGCAATTTAGTATTTTCGAGTTTTCTAATCAAAGGGGTTATGTGTTAATTTCATATCATAAGGGGGTCATGTGCAAAATGTCAAAAACACAAGGGGTTTATGTGCCTAATTTCATACTATAAGGGGGTCATGTGCAAAAACCACAAAGGGGTTATCTGCTTAATTTCATACCATAAGGGGGTCATGTGCAAAATTTTCAAACCACAAGGGGGTTAAGTGCTATATATTTACCCAACAAATTATATATGTGTTTGCATCATTTGGAGGCCGAAATGCTACCAAATTGAATGATTTACTCGTATTGAGTAGAATGTGTTTAAGTAGGAGTGACATTGTAGATATAAGTGACCATTCTCTATAGAACACGTAATTCGATGAACCGAATATACATATTTTTGCACATTCTGACCCATGAACGTCTAATATGGTATAATTTGATAATTTTAGACTCCAAACTACTCGATTTATGAACGTACGTTAGGTAAGCACATTGTATAAGTTTACAGGAACACGAGGTATACATTTTCTGTAACATGTGTATACGTTCTTGTTTCAAACCATATACATTCACATATAAACTCCGATACTGTTATTATTTTAACATTATAATTTATTTTATTTTTATTTTGTTTAATAATAATTAACCGCATAATGACTGTAAAACGTGTTTCTAATGATATTTGAACAAATTATATAAGTATTTGCATCATTTGGAGCCCGTGATGCTACCAAAATTGAATGATTTACGTATTGAGCAGAATGTGTCGAAGTAGAAGTGGCATTGTAAATAGAAGTGACCATTCTCTAGATAACACGTAATTCGATGAACCCAAGTTACATAGTTTTTCCATTATAACTCATGGACGTCTAATATAGTTTTGCCCATTATAACCCATTAGATTCCAAACGACTCGATTTATGAATGTACGTTATGTAAGCAGTGTCTACGTTTATGGGAACACGAGGTAACATAACTTAAATACGTTCTAGCGAACAACGGTAAACATTTACAGTGCTCTAGTCATACGAATCTTTGTAAATCTAATACAATTATTATTATTATTATTATTATTATTATTATTATTATTATTATTATTATTATTATATATATATATATATATATATATATATATATATATATATATATATATATATATATATATATATATATATCAATTTTCTACATATTTATTAACTATATAAATCCGTATATATTTAGTTTATTGATGTTTTTAAACATGTTTTAGTGCCATGTAATGGCGACTAATTATTTATACATTAAAAAATTATTAAAATTTAAATATTGAAAATTATCGTATTATACATTCAACACAAACATATGCCTAGAGTACCGAAAAAATATCGTCAATTGCTATATAAAGTATATATTATGTACATAAAAGGTATCATTGTTGTGTAAGTCAATGTTCAGGTGGAGGGGATTGCATGGGCATATTGCCTATTTCCCGTATCGTTTCTCCCAAAGTTGTTTCCGATTCACAATTACACTAATCATATTCAAGATCATCATACAACGCACAATTCATATTCCCTAGATGGAAATTCGTCAAGAACAAAAACCAATAATTAAAAAAGAAGAAGAAGAAGAAGAGGGAAGATAAAGACGAAGAGGAAGAAGATGAAGAGGGAGAAGAAGAATACGATGAAGAGAAGCAAAGATGATGAGAATCTGGGAAAACAATTCTAATTTTTTTTTTTTTTTTAGTTTTATTTTGGCTAAATTTTGGAGTTGTTTGTGAACTAAAATAATTGATTTAAAGTAGGAATATGGGGTGTTTGGGATTAGGTATTTAGTAGCAAAAACTCTTACTTATAAAAATTGCTTAGTATCTAGTTATAATTATTTTTGCTAATAAGGGGTATGCCATGCCTAATTCTAATTGACCCCTATATATATATATATGAGGATATATACGTATAGACATACGCACACACGTGGGGATTGGCAATTGGAATTGGCCATTGGGGATTATTAACTCTCATAGTCAGTCATACACTCATACTGCTCCAATCTCCTATACCATTCAAGCTTTAACGGCGGTCAGCTTCTTCACGGCGGCGAGTGGTGCGCACCACGGTATTGTCCGGTAAAGGTTAGGTTTTAGGCTATGTTCGTTCACATTTTTCCGTCGCCTTTAATTTTCTCCTTCTCTCTTCTGTTTCTCATACTCTCGTTTACATTTTCGATTGATAAGTACATATTTGTAGCTGGATTTCCAATTTAGGTGGAGTGAGAGTATACTCAATGAAATTCTATTGAACAATCATTTTTTTTGTGTGTGTGTGTAATTGTCTGTTTGATTTATGAATAGAGAGCAACTGGAATTGATCAATCAATTGTATTGAAGGTTTGGTATTAATGGACTGTAGACTTCTTTCGATCAATCGGAGTGGTGGTTTGTTTGCTTCCACAAGAATTACTCACCAACGGTTATCCTCCTATTCTCAGAGAAGTAAGTTGGGTGGGTAATTTTTTTCGTTCAAGTATTGTGTGAATGAAGGAAGAATAATTGACTACCACCTTTAAAATAAAAAATAAAATATTTGTTGTGCTTACATCTCGCGCATTGAGAACGATGTGGTGAATTTTGTTTGGATAGTTGAATTTACTGTAAATATGGGGCATGAAGGTGTCGTTTTCATTCTTGAGTGAGTTGGCGTAAATAGGATGTTGATTTGTTTGGCTCAGCTCTGAGCCCAGAATTTTGATGCCATCTCAGGAATGTGGCTTCTCATATTTTCTCACTTAACTTCTGAATTTCAATCATTTATATATTATGGTGCTTGGTTGGAAAGATATACTTCATTATTGACACTAAAAAAGAACAATCATCAATCGTTAAATTGGGTTTCGGTTAAGAGTTGTTTTTGGCGGTTTGACATTGGACGTCGAATTTAGAATATGAACTGATATTTCTTGAGTTCTGGCCTTCTTTTTTCTTTTTACTCGGTCCTAGTTAAATATAGAGAAGAATGATGACCATTTTCAAGTAAAATCGCATTATTCGAAAAGGTTTATCCATGTCAGCGTGTTTTTTTGAAACACTCATAGGATGAAATAGCAAAGTAAAGCTCTATAAGTGAATATCGATTGGTGTTTTAACTATAGAATCGGAAGCTGTTAGCTAGCTTTTGCGTCTATAGTATATTAACAAATTTAGGAATTCGATGTAGCTCCATTAAAGCTTATGCTTAGTGAGGTTACATCTTTTCATGTTTTTGTGATATTGTTGATGATAGAACTAAGATAAGAATACCATTTTGTATTTACTGAATATAGTTATTGAACCCGCCGTCCTTGTTTCTCATCTTATTGTGTTTGCTTTTTTCCTAGGATCATTTTATTGCTCAACGAATTGCTCAATGAAGTCCTATAAGCTGTCAGATCTTAGTAGGACTGAGGTTGATAGCCTCAAAGCTCGCCCCCGGATAGATTTTTCATCTATTTTCAGTGTGGTGAGTCTTGATGCTGCTCAGTTGCTTGTCAATATTTTAGTTGTCAATATCATTTCAACCTTTTATATAATTAAGAACTGATTTTATTACATTGCTATATACATAGGTTCAACCCATTGTTGACGATGTACGAACTAGAGGCGATGCAGCTGTTAAAGAGTAGGTGTTTCCTTGCCCATTTATTCTGATTTTATATCATGTCTTGTCTAGGCAGTGTGGATAAGTCTTATACCCTCTTAGATCCACTTTATTCTTGGGCAACTACGAAAAGAATTTATGGGGCTAATAGTGACAAGAATTCAATTATGAGACTGGGCAGGAACATTAAAAGAAACATGGTCGAAGATTTTGAATTAGATTAAGATAGAGGTACAACAGACTGATGCCTTCAAAGAGGCTTTTTAGTTGACCGGCAGCAACAAATATTTTTTGTTCATTCTGCAGTCTAGGACTTGTTAGATTTATTAAATCAGGATGTCTTAAGGATTGTGATCCATTTTATTAAATCGTTGTGAAATTTTCAATACATGAACAGAAGAGTTTTCATAAAATCAAGCTATGAACTTGGGGTTATTCTTGTACAGAGTTTTATCAAACTCGGCGTTGTTGCAAGAGCTTGTATTTTGTTATTCTTAATTAGTCAATCTAGAAGGGTGTATTAGTTTCTGATATTGCTTACTAAAATTTGGCCTTAAAAGGTGGTTATTGTTTGTGGAAGTTCAAGATGAGCTGAGGGTCATGGTTTAACAAATAGGATATAAAAACCTTTAGTCCTGGAAATTAGATGTTATTATTGCACTTGTTGAAATGTTTTTGGCTCACTTCTCAATTCCTGCAATGACCGATAAATGGCATCTTTTATTTTTGATTGTTCTTCGTTTTCATGGGTGCAGCTATACAAGACGGTTTGACAAAGTTGAACTAGACACGATAGTTGAGACTGTCAATGATCTTCCAGATCCAGTGGTATATTCCTCACACAATTATTTTACCACAATATTTATGGTTCTAACTGGATCATTTTAACGTGTTGCTCAAGTGAGAAAAATACTTTCTGACTTCTGGTCATATTTCTAACGGTTTTATTGTTGTTAGCTTGATCCCGCTGTCCAAGAAGCATTTGATGTGGCTTACAGTAATATTTATGCTTTTCATGCTGCACAAAAGCCAGTTGAGAAGATTGTTGAGAACATGGAAGTAAGCAGTGCAATATTTAATTGCAAAATCATGTGTTCATAGATAATTTCGATTGAACCATGTAGCCCCGTTTCTCCAGGGTGTTAGGTGTAAAAGAGTGGCAAGATGTATTTCCTCCGTGGGTCTTTATGTTCCTGGTGGCACTGCTGTATTGCCATCAACTGCTCTGATGCTTTCAGTGGTATGGTGATTTTTAAATTCATATTATTTTTTTTTTTTTGGATTATTAAATTGTGACTGCAATTTTAGCTTACTCCACTGAAATGCCTTGTTCTGAATTAGCCTGCTCAAATTGCTGGCTGCAAAACCATTGTACTTGCAACCCCTCCCGCGCAAGACGGCAGCATTTGTAAGGTAGTTGTTCCATCTTGTAGTATTACGATGTTGTCTTTATATGGCTCACCAGTCACCACCCATTCCTGTTTTCAGGAGGTTCTTTATTGCGCGAAAAAAGCTGGTGTTACTCATATTCTTAAAGCAGGAGGTGCTCAGGTCAGAATGCAGTATGCTCATCATGTACATTCCTGTATACGGGATACTCTTTCTTATGTTACTAACGTTTTACGTTATCATGTTTAGGCAATTTCAGCCATGGCATGGGGAAGTGAATCTTGCCCTAAGGTATCAATTCCTGCATAATTTGTACACTTTCCGTAGCATGCCTTTTTGAATAGCAACCTATGTCAGGTGGAAGCTTGGGTTCTCCAGTTCAGTTGATTCTCTCTTGATATGAAAGTTTTTACCAAGAAAATTTCCCTTTTTACTTATTTGTTTTCATGACTGTTGCCACTAGCAATTTGCGTTCTATCTACTTATTTCTATATATATATATATATATATATATATATATATATATATATATATATATATATATATATATATATATATATATATTTATTTATCTGATTACCTACTTACATAGAAAAATACACCTATACATGTATGTATATGCACATATCTGTATGTTAGTGTATGCTGGGTTAGCATGAATTTTAACATACTTGCACATTTCTGTACACACACATACCCGTGTGTGACCTTATGATGGGTGATGGGTTATTGGGTCTCCTCTATCTTTGGCTTCACATGCATATGATCCAAAATTAACTTTTTGGTCCGTCTTCCTAACTCACAAGTGAGTTAGTTTACATGATGAACTTAAGTGAAAGTTGAGTGTGATTTTATCTTGGTCTCTTGTTATTGGTGATGAAATTAATTTATTTAACTACATGCTTTTGCTGCTATGCATCTATGACAATTTTATGTTGCTGTAACTGCAGGTTGAAAAGATATATGGGCCTGGAAACCAATATGTTACTGCCGCAAAAATGATTCTCCAGGTATTTTATGCTCTATGAATTGTGAATTGATCTTAACTATTTCTGCTTTATGCCTTAGTGCATGTTGCTAAGTTGTTAATTGCTCTCAATAGAACAGTGAAGCCATGATTTCAATAGACATGCCAGCTGGACCATCGGAAGTTCTTGTCATTGCTGATAAACATGCCAGCCCTGTTCACATAGCTGCGGATTTGCTTTCACAGGTTTTCGCCCTTCTATGGAGTATTTAACCGTTTCATCTATGTGCTCGTATTTTTCTGCTGTATCTTTAGTGGTTATAATTAATAAAAGAATGGTTGTAAATCTGTTTATCGAATATTAAGATAGTAGTTTCAAATAAATAAGAGAAGGTGACATTGATTTACGATAGTTGGAAAATAGATGGAAAAAAATTTAAACTATGTACATGAAGATAACTTCTCGTCGCTTAATTTCATTTACTTATGCTATTGGTTCTCTGTTATGATGGCAAAAGATAATGTTCCTGTTTTCAGGCTGAGCATGGCCCTGATAGCCAAGTTGTTCTTGTAGTTGCCGGAGAGGGTGTGGATGTAACTGCAATTGAGGACGAAATTGACAAACAATGCAATAGCCTTCCTCGGGGAGCCTTTGCTTCTAAAGCACTAAGTCACAGCTTTATTGTTCACGCACGCGATATGGTTGAGGTTCGCATATTCTTTAAAATTTAATCAAACACATAAAAATATGATAACCTATATTTTCGGTGATGGAAAGGGAAAATGTCTATGCTTAATTATTGAGGCTATTTTATTGGGCATAGTTACTCCAGTTGTAGAAAATAAAAGTTGAATATCGTTGGTGTTAAATTCTTAAAAAAGTGATTTTTTTGGAATTGTTTTTAGTTCTATTGGTATAAATATACATCTAAACAATTGGCAATAATGCCTTTTATCGACTTTTCTTGCCTGAGTTTACCCATTGTTGGGATTTGCAGGCTATTGCTTTTTCTAACTTGTATGCACCGGAGCACTTAATAATCAATGTCAAAGATGCCGAGAAGTGGGAAAGTTTCGTTGAGAATGCAGGTAACACTCGAATTCGATCATTTAATATCCTTGTAATTTCAACAAGAAGTTGTACATCTTATTTACTTATATTGCTGCAGTCTTATACTATCCGACTTTAAAAGCATATTAAATATTTGAGACGACAATCATTTCTTGTTCTTTCTTAATTCATTATGAAAATATACGTTCGGTATTGATATTATACTTTTGTACGTAAACTGTGTGCAGGTTCTGTATTTTTGGGTGAGTGGACACCAGAAAGCGTTGGAGATTACGCAAGTGGGACGAATCACGTTCTTCCAACTTACGGTTACGCACGTATGTACAGTGGAGTCTCGTTAGACTCGTTCTTGAAGTACATCACCGTACAATCACTGACAGAAGAAGGGCTTAGGAAACTTGGTCCTTACGTAGCAACTATGGCTGAAATTGAAGGTCTCGATGCCCACAAGAGAGCTGTCACTCTCAGACTTAAAGACATTGAAGCTCGACAACTTTCTAATCTCAGATAAGTATCGAAATTGATTCTTTTATCTTTTCGTTAAACGAGAGAGAGAGAGATCCCTTCTTTTGTTCGTCTAATTTTCTTGCCTTTTCCCAAAAAAAAAAAAAAAAAACACTAGATACTGCTGTTGTTGTACTCTGATTTTGCACTTTGGTTCTAAGTTATTTATTTATCATTCAACAGAAAAACAAAACTGTCGACAAATTTTGTCAGTGCTGCCTTATTTTTGGGTAATAAAAATTTAGAAACCTCTGCGGTTTGTTCTTAAAAATATAATTTTCAGCTGATGAGCAATTCTTTTATTGTCTTACGACAAAGCCGATAATTTTGTAGTATATTAGGATTTATTAAGGTTGATGAAGTCACACAATTTAGCACAGGGGAATAGCTTAATCTTCAGCCATTACTCTACTCAAATTTGTTATGAAAAAAACTATATTAATAATCACCAAAAATATATATATATATATATATATATATATATATATATATATATATATATATATATATATATATATATAGTCGAAACGTAGAAGCTGTACAAAAGAAATTCCTATCTAAGAAGCTGGTTGCTTAATGAAATAATCTCCTTGGAACAGTCTTCCGTTTCTGTTGTAGCTGCGTAAGTTTGAAGTCTGTCTAAAGCCATCACTTTAGCTCGGCAACGATGGCGACAGAAAGATTGATCACTGTAGAAGAAAGAATAATCTATTACTATCAAATTAAAAGTTATATGAAATTGATTATTTTGCTATATTATTATAATAAGTTTTCCAATGCATATATATTACGAACGACTTACTTGTACACATAAACAATCTGACTTTGATGCATCTGGTAGTCGCACGAGGCACATCGTCGAATATTTCTTTCTCGAAATTTGGACTTGGATCCAACCTCGTTTTTCGATGTAGCAATATTATGTTCTTCAGGCTTCTCAGTGTTGCTTAACGGAATAATCTCCTTATGACAGTCTGCATAAGCTTGAACTCTGTCTAAAGACATCACTTTAGCTCGGCATCGATGGCAACAAAAACATTGATCGCTGAAAAAAGAAAAAAAAACACGAGAAATATAAGCTTGGTTCGGATCAAAGTACAACTTATATGATTAACATGTGCTATTATTGTACAGTTTTACAATGCATGTATTGCGAACGACTTACTTGTACATATAAACAGTCTGACTTTCGTGTATTTGGTAGTTGCACGAGGCACAATTTAGAATAAAACTTTCTTCAAATTTGGATTTCGATCCATCTTCGTTTTCTTCAAATTTGGAATTCGATCCATGTTCGTTTTCTCCAAATTTAGAATTCGATTCTTCTTCGTTCCTCGATGTAACAATATGTTCGGACTTCATGCTCGGAGAATGAAAGACTAAAATTTCTCTACAAATACAGGAAATAAATAACTAAACTATGTTGGTGTGTGTGTGTATATATATAGTGTCTGTAAGTTTGAATATAAGGGAAATACAGAAAAGAAAGTTTCTATATCAATTATTTTTCCTTTTTTGTAATTATGAAAAATATTTTTAATTAGTATTTGGGAAATATGGCTGCATATTCCTTTTGATTAGATTTTGTTTTGAGTAGCTATTAGATATAAAAATGGAAGGTTTTACGAAGGGCTTATGTTATTGGTATTTTTGGCAAGAGAAGTTTATTTTTAGGATTTGATTTCCATGTATAGCTAGTGTACGCGAATTCTGCTCAATTCACGTTTGGAAACTTATCTTTAATTGCGAAATTTTTAGATTATACTTAAATTATTAATAAACCTGACCGGGTTCATAACCTTAACGTTGGGCTTTATATTCCGATTTTTCTTTTTATTATATTAAAAAAGAAGAAAAATACCGTTGGGCTTGAAACAAAATATTACTTTTTGAGAAATTAGAGTTGTTTGAAGGGGACAATTTGATATATATATATATATATATATATATATATATATATATATATATATATATATATATATATATATATATATATAGACACACACACACACCTGCACAGTGCCAGTGCCCTGTTTATATATTTGCAAAATGTGTTTTGTTTATGCTGGCATGAGTTTGAAGTGGTTGATGATATGCTACGTCAAAGTTGCCCCCATATTTTGAAGACTGAATATAAGGATCACATTAAAACAGAGCCTTGTATATTGTGAGACGCGCTATGAAATAAGAGATAATATTGATATGTAAAAAGGTTAAGGATCAAAATTATATTTATTAGGGTAAATTATTTTTAAAAAATATATATATATTTATTAGAGTAAATTACAACCACCCCTTAGGTATGGTCAATTTACGAAAAAACCCCTCTTGTTTGGTTAATTACATCTATCCCTCAATTTTGATTTTTTTTCTTAAACCTTCACCCTTATGGTGTCAAATTCAATCTAGATTTCGTGGAATGTGCTCTAGTTTGTACTCCTTTTGTGTTAAAATAAAGTTTCTGATACACCACAATTTGATATATACAAGAAAAAAACACATATTATGATCATCTTGCTTCAAAATGTAGAATTCGAATGGGATACAACGGGTAGAAAAGTGATAATATTTCATATAATCTCGAAGATTCCACTAAATTTGAAACAACAGGGGTGGATGTGTAAGAAGATTTATAGTTGAGGGGTGGTTGTAATTACCCAAATAGGAGGGGGGGTTTTCGTAATTTGACCATACCTCGGGGGTGATTGCAATTAAATCGGTTAAAATATTACCTATTTATTTTCTATTTTTTATGTTGGTGGTATTGAAATGAGAAAGAAACGGTATTTATATATAATATATGGACCAAAATTGTAATTATCCCAAGTTTATTTTAAATAATATAATAAATTAAGGTTTTCTTAAATGGTAAATCTTAAAATTTGATCGATTTTTTAATTTCTAATTTTCGATTTTTACAGGTACCGGTTCAATCGAGTTCGACCATCCATGAAATTCCGCCGCTTCAAAAAATACAAATAAAATTATTTTGATAATTAAGCTTTCATATAATTTTTCTGATCTAAGGATGTCAATTAATTGAACATTATTATCTCGACAGATAAATTCCAAAAAACAAATTAAAGACAGAAGCATATGACATGATTTCAATTATACTGCATGCTGTAAAAATTGGTAAAAAATGATAGATACAATATGTAACGAAAGATCGATAAAATCGATAGATACATTATATATACATCTTGTAAAATTTTCCTACACGAAAAGCGAAATTAATCCGAAAAAAAGGCTATGGCTATGATATAATCTCTCCTTGTTCGATATCAATATCAAACATAGGTAGTACGGCATCGACTCGATCCGGATGACGTTCGATGTAATCAAAATCATCGGACTTGATAAACAATCCAAGCGTCTCCAAAGGGCCAACACCGCCCCATCGCCGCCCACAACCCCACATCACCAGCTGGTTCATGACATCTAGGTTCTGATCGTTGAACTCAACGGTTTTCTTGATATTATCACGAGCGACTCTCTCTCTCTCCCGCCTCTTGTTCAAATCCGCAATCCTGATTCTTTCTTGTTTAAGTTTATTCTCTTCCATCTGCTTTTGCAGCACGACGCCGCCGTCGGACTTCCCGAGCAAGTGGTGTTTCGCTTTGAATATCGTATCAGCGAATCGACTTTTCAGCATCAAAGCCCTCGTAGAAGAAGCCTTCTCCTCCACGTCATCTTCGGCTGCGGCGGTCGATATTATTTCCTGGCGCTTTGCCGGGATAATCATCACCGGATCTTTTTCTTCTTCTTCTTCTTCTTTTGATACTCGTCTGACATGGGCCGCCGTATTATTACGAATATCATCACACGGTGTTCGTCGTAACGTAGAAGTCGTCGAAAATTTGAACTTGGAATTGTTCTTGATTATGGTAGAAATTCGTTGGAGCTTTGATCTTTTCGAACTTGGTTTATTACTACATCTTGCAATCGCCATCTTCTTCATCGTGATAAATTAAAATTCAAGAAAAAAGAAATTATTTTAATAGAAAAGGTGACGAAGAATTTATAATGTACGCACAGGTTTTTTTGATCTAGGTTTTTATAAGGAATATTTTCCTTTATAAACTCTGATTGGTTACCAAACAGAGTTTCAAATCTATGTAACTTTCCTTTTGTAATTTCTGTGTCCTTTTGTAAACTCTGTATCTATGTAACTTTCCTTTTCTAAACTATGTTTGTAATTAAGGACATGTTTAAGGATTATTATATTAATATATAGGGCAAATTACCAAAACCCCCTTGAGGTAAGCCTAAATAACGAACATCCCCCTCACGTTCTCGTAATTACGAAAACCCCCCTTGACTAACGGTTGACCGAATTTTTTTAACCGAAAACGTGAAATGTCTATTATATCCTTCTGTTAAATATGTAAAAAATAAAGGGCAAATTACCAAAACCCCCCTGAGGTAAGCCTAAATAACGAAAATCCCCCCTGACATCCCTTTCAGTTGATAATTTATTGCTTTTATAAATTTATTTATTACTAATTTGTAATTTGTATTGATAATTTGATATTATAATTTTTTTTATTTTTTTTATTTATATATTGTAATTGATTTTATTTATCCAGAAGAGTATTCATACGGATTTATGCTTTTAGCTTGAATGATGCATGGTTGTATTTCTCGAATTGTAAAATATTTAATTATATATATAAAAAATAATTAAATTTTGAAATCTCATCCATTGATTTTTTTAATCCAATAAAAATACATTGTACATTCATAATGATTGATTATATTTGGGTTTAATTTAAGAAAAATAAGTATTTTGGAGACACTTATATATTTCATGAAGATTATATATTTATGACCCCTCATTAAATAAAATGCTTACAATTACCCCCCTAAGGTAATTTCGTGTACAAGGGCAAAATTGGTATTATCGGAGGAATATTCGGGAGAATCAAAAAGATTCTATCGAGTCTAATACCGTTAGAGCGATTTGAAAGATGACTGCATACCTCAGGGGGGTTTTCGTAATTACGAGAACGTGGGGGGGATTTCCGTTATTCAGTTACTTTAATATGCTCCGTTATTTTCTTCATGATTGTCCGAACCGGACCGGACCGGACCGGACGGTCCGACCGGTTCAAGCGCGACCCGGTAATATCCCGGGCGGTTGGATGCCGAAGATCAAGAAAAGCAAAAACCGGGGTCCCCAGGCGAAAACCCGGTTTGACCGGCCAAAACCCCGGAACCCGGAAACCGGTTTTTGTTCAAACGATGTGTGTTGGAGAGATCTTGGCGGTG